CTAGCATTTTTGTTTCTCATACTATTTGATATGTAAATTATAGCAACCATTGTTCTTGTATGTTCCTGAGGCTTTTCTTGTTCTTCACATAGGAGATATTCTTTAAAACCTAACACTAATGAAAGAGAACATGTAGTCTCAAATCTGATTTGTATTTTACATCAAAAGTAGGGAATCTTTTGACTATCAAGCTTATTTTTGTAACCATTTTCCAACGGTTACCACTCGAGAAAAAAAAAATACCTTAGTAGTTGAAATGCAGGGATACTTCTAGCCCAATGAACAGAGAGAAACAAAAGCCTTGAAGCACTTTCACATATATAATGTATATTTAAATAGGCTGGCATAGGGCTGGGTGTCTGAAGGTTGAATGGAACGTGGTGCCCTTGAATTAAAAGTCCTTCAAATTCAAAAGTTGCTTCATTATTGTACTCTGCATCATTTTCACTTCCATTTAAATTCTGGAACAGAGAGCAATTTAAATTTGCTAATAACAAACAGAAAATTCTGTAATTTCACCATAAATAATACACCTACCTTTGCAACTGTATCTAAAGCACGAGATATCATGTTCTTATCTCTTGCTAAGCTCAGAGCTTCATTAACATCTCCATTAGCAAGGAAAGAATCACTAGATCCTTCCTCTTCTATGCTTATCTGACTTGGTGACAACTTACATGCAGGATCACCTACAGCCAATTACAATAATTACACAATAAAGATTAATTGCTCATTTTGTTAACATCAACAAATACAGGTAAAAGATTACAAATGAGAAAGAAAAATAACAAAATTGGGTAGATTCGAAGTAACTTAAGGAAGACATCGAAACCAACTGTTCAGGCTACTCATGCACAGAAGAAACCCGCATAGAGGGGAAGTTGGAAGATTTTGAGGGGAAGACTTTGATTGACAGGGGTAGAGTTGTATCTGCCATCTTTGCTGTGTCCTCTATAATTATGTGTGTTTTCATCGTGTAGCTTTATGGAAATTTTGAACAGGTTAGTTAAGTAAAACTATAAGGTGGATGTATTTGGACTTAGCAGAAGTGACAAAATAAGTGATTTCCTGAAACAAACAAAACATATCTGTATTTACCATCTGACAGATATATGAAGTGAGTTTTCCTGAAAGTATTTTCACAGAAAATGCATTGATGCATTTCACAGAAAATGCGCACACTGTGCAGACTCAAGGTCGTTTTATGGTAATCGTGAATGCTAAAAAATCCAAGCCATGTCCTCAACTTGAAAATGCATAGCAAAGCATCAACTTGTTCATAAAAGTAATTTGGCACAAAAAAGTGAGTGGAAGGGTGTGTGTCTGAAGTGTAAATATGTCATTTTGTCAATTTTCCACTTCGGCTATTTATTACTGCATGCTAGATCATTGAACATTTCTCAAGATGTAAATGGAGAATAGCCAAGTTTAATTAATTTCTATGCAAATTAATGAGTTCCTTCCTCCAATCTTCCCCAATCAGTCTTCCCTAAGGGTGTACTGAACTCTCCACTTCAACCCAACATAGAATATGAGTTCAAGATTACTAGCCAGAAAATGTAATACATACCTGAATTTCTTGCCAAACTAGAATTCACCAGTCCCACATCACCAAAACTAAATGGTGATATGCCAGCTTGTTGTGTTTCTGCACCCAAATCTTTCCTTATAAAAATTTTATTGAGAGAGTTTTGTGAAAATGTTGAATTATTATTAGAACCAAATGAAACTGACGAAAATTCTCTCTTCTCAGATATTGGTTTCCGCTCATGTTGGACGGCTAAAACATGGGGAGCTTTAAATATTTCTTGCATCTGCTTCATTATTTAATTCTGTACATTATATTTTTTGAAAAAATGTTCATAAATAAAAAAAATGAAGAAAATAATTTTAAATTTTACATATTTGAATGTATGTAATATTATACAATTGCAAGCATAGGCAAACAACTAGGTTAATAAAAATTAAACAATTGACGTTACGTAAAATCGTTTTTCTTATTTTTCTTATTACACGAAGTTCACAGAACTAAGATCATTGTACAGTGACCAACTTTTAAATGACACTACTGAAAATGCAAAAAATCCATTTCAAAGTACACCAATTCCACAAGACAAAGAAAAACAACTTAGAGGTACAAATTGTAAAATACGTAGCATTTACTAGAAAGGCGAAATAAAAAAAATAATTAAGAGTTCTTACAATCACTTCTCATGCCCATTGCAAGGCACTTCTGAAGACGGCAGTACTGGCATCTGTTTCTATGATGTTTTGTAACTTCACAGTTCTTGCTACCACGGCACTGGTATCCCAACTGCTTCCTAATTGATCGTTTGAAAAACCCTTTACATCCCTCACAACTGATGGCTCCATAATGGCGTCCTAAAATGTAATGCATCAAAATCACACATAATTGTCTCAAGATACATTCAACATTAGTTCCTAATACAAAATATTATTACCTGATGCCCTATCTCCACAAACCACACATAACTCAACAGCAAGACATAGAGATCGCACTTTATCTGGTGTCACATGGACAACGCTCATATCCAAACCCAAAGGTTGCTCCATTGCGCCATTAGGTAAAAATCCTATTTAGAGAGATAAATCATCGTTACAGAGATCACACATTTGGGGATCAAAAGAAATGCAACTATTAAATATCTCTCACCTCTGAATACTTCACTCTCTAAAACACTTGTAGGGATTCCACCCATTTCACATAATAATGCATTATAAAATATGTTTATGGTTTGAGATTTATCTCTTGAAATTTACAAGATCATCTTCTAAATAAAAAGTATCACATCTCTCTAAAACATAATAATCAAAGACAGTGTGTCACAAATAAAACTATAACAAGTTATTTTCTCAACTAACCATATACAAGGTAAAATTTCTTACTTACGTTCATTTCATTAACAGACACCAATGTAAAATGCTGATGCTGCCAACACGTAATTTTTCAGACTCAATACTGCATTGAAAATACTTCAATAAGCACAATTTAAATAATTATTCAATTCAAACTAATTATGATATCGGAGCACATTTCATGTACACTCCCTTTCAGGACTTTTGTTGCCTCTTGACTTTTGGTTTGATTCTCTGGGCCCAGAAAGTTCACTTGCTTGTAGGATATCCAAGCAGCACTTCTGAAATAAATAAATTCCAGTGTTAAACACGATAAAGATTCCAACAAAATATGAAAAAATTACTTTACATCCCTAGTCAAGTCAATATGTATGCATATAAAATAATATTTTACAAATCTTATCAAAAAAGGCAGGTCAAGTTCTTATTCCTGGAAAATGAAAGGGTTATATTTAAAGCACAAATTGTCATATTCTCAAGAATTTTCACTTTTGAAATGCTAGTTACCTGATTCATACAAAATCCCTCATGGGTAAAAACTGATGTTGAAAACTAATTACATAATATTATTTCTTATCATTTTTAATTAATGCTATTACAATATACACAGAACTGAAACAAATTAAAAACTGTATCAGAAAAAGATTATAAAATTATGTTTTGGTGTCCAGGAAATTGTGAAACAATATTGAGATTCATAGTAATTTTGAATAATTAGTGAATTGGCAATAACCAATGCAATTACATAGAAACATCAATAAACAACAGTGTCACTTTATAACCAATTAAGGAGAATAAAGCTTCAATTTCCTATCTGTAAATGTATTTGCAGTAATGTATAGTTCCAATAATATTAGAAGTTAATTACCTGTGTCAAAAAATACCTACATAAAATGCAACTTCACTTTCTCATTGATCGTAATTTCAATAGAAACATATGTTAGTTATGAAAGGAAAGTTCATAAACAATAAAGCTGCAAATTTTCTTTATTGTATGAACCTTTCACACAGAATTACAAAAGAAAAGTTTGAAGTACCATTACTGTCATTGAAAGGAAGATATTACATTTACATTAAAAAGAAAAAAAAGGTTTGCAAAATGTACTGGAATGAAAGACAAACCTTAATAGCATGCTTCCCATTCCTGTTTCGACATCTAAAATTTTCTGCAAATGCAATGATAAATTCCCATTACTGAAAATAAAAGCCTGCTTCATTCAATTTATAACAGTGACAATAGAATAGTGTAAGAGAAGGGATGTTACAAGAATGCAAGAAAATGCAATCATATTGCACTCCAGATACTACTTTTTCTAAAACGCTGAAACCGAATTAGATAAGAAAGAATGGCACCTTAATAAAATGGAGAAACATTAACAAGGACTTTAAAAACACATTAATGACAGCCACTATCAGAACAAACTTTTGTGGCTTAACACAAAATAAGTCATAGTGATTAAAAGAAATAATAACAGCCCACATTACAATATTGATTACACAATAACAGTATACATTTTCATTTTTTATCAGAATCGTTGAGATAGCTCTGACAATTAAGAATATTGAAAAGTGATTAACTAATTTCAATATCACCATATTGACAAGATGCCATTCTGATTCTGAAGAACAACACACAATATGACTCTAGAAAGAATTTAAGTTAAACATCACATACGACGTTTCAAAGTTTCTTTGCAGCATACGCTACACACATTTTACCTCGGGCAAAAAGGTAAGCACCCACGTACAAAGCGAACAGGTCTATATCACCTGTCCTTGAGTGGTGGAAGAGATGTTAATACGCCACCAAATCATTATATCTTCGAAACCGAGTACACACCAGATTTAACATAGGTAAGTATGAATAGCTACAAATAAGTCTATTTTATCGTAAAAATACTAATATTAACCAACCGGTCTTGTAAGTTCACTACTCCGAAGAACCTTAAGGTGAAAGTTCATGACCTCCCATGAGCCTTATGCCCTTACTGTGTTGCCAACATAAAAAATATCAAAATAAAATTGTGCCAGAAATAGTAGTCCTTATACAAAGAAAATTAAAGAAGCATTTCCGTGAAATTAAAAAAATGGGCAAAGGACGAACATAATGTGTTCATTTCACATATAATTCATAAAATTGACTGTAATGTGATCACTATAATATGTAAATTTTAAAAACAACAACAGACGTAAGAACTGTAATCAAACTAAATAAATAGATTAAAACATAATAATTTGAGATATTCAGGAGAATGTTAAGCAGACGTTTTCAAAAGACTCGTCTTCTGAACACGATGTTGTGCTTTCTCCGAGAAACAAAGTAACAAAATGTGATTTCCCGGATTGATTTACAGGACTATTTATTTTGCGAATATTGGTGATACTGCTATAAAAATTCACGTAGGTGAGGAAAAACGGCAAGGTTGATCGTTGATGTTATGTTATGGTGATGCCGATGATTGGAGTGATTCGTTCAGGGCAAGTTGAAGATACGTGTTGAAGTATCTTTCAGTGTCATGAGATAATGCTTTGTGACACACAGTATTTTGAGTGGCTGACAAGAAATTGTGAATTTGTTGTTTTTATAATTTTATTTATTACTCTTAAAGATGGACAAGGTGCAGCTGTGTGAAAGTTTGATGAAATGGGTGAGTGTCATTTAAAGCCAAATTCTGGTCTTGCTTTTAATTTAAATGTTCTTGCTTCATTGTTATTCGTGCACAAAAAAATATTTTTTTCTTCCTTGTGGTAACTTTTAAGTAAGGAAGGGAGAGAACTAAGTGGCAACTTGTCATGTCATTTCAGCTGCAGACATTTGATGTTGATGCTCCTCACAGCACCGTTGAAGAAGTGAGTGATGGAGTAGCAATGGCACAGGCTCTGACCCAAATGTAAGTTACAATATATGTTTAAAATTCTGTTGTATATAATATAATTTATTGAGTAAATCGTATTGCTCCCTATCAGATCATTCCTACGTTACTGCTTAGACACTGCATGAATTTGTTAATCAGAAATCATTTGATGTAGTAGTTGTGTTAAGACTGTTGTAATAATATTTGAGGTGTTTTTGTGCTTTAATTAGATTTGTAGCATCTGTGAAACATTCATAATTTTCTCTCAATGTCACAGATTTTTTGTAATTTATCATTGTATTTATACAACAATCTAAAAGGTTTAAAAAATGTAGATTATTAAATTTTGCAGAACATCCATGCAAACCAATGGTGTTAGTTGTGGTATTCGTCAATTATCTATTTTTATAATTGCATTAATTTAAAAATTAATAGAAATTCAAGAGCCTCTTACAAAAATAAACTAATCAGAATACCTAACATTGTTGGTTTTATAAAAAGTATTTAGTATTTAAAGTAGAAAGTTTTATTATTATGTTTGACTACAAATTTCGTTTGTACAAATTGATTCTTTGTAGTATATACAATTAATATTGATGAGTATGAAATAAAGTTGTCATCTCAAGTATCTAGTTTGTAATATGGCCAACATTCATTAATGTGAAATTTTAAAATTTAATTTCCTATGATAAGTGTAGGGAATAGTTTACGTATCATTTATTTTCAATTGTGTGTTTAACAGAGCACCTGAGTGGTTTGGCGATGCATGGATGTCAAAAATTAAGACTGATACTGGCAACAATTGGCGACTGAAGGTAAAATTTATGAATGTTGTATAAGAAAGTTTTTGCTATAGAAAATTCTAATTAGCTTGCATTGATTTAATTTGTAGGTTAGTAACTTGAAGAAAATAGTGGAAGGCATAGTTGACTATTACCATGACAGTATTAATCAACATTTCGCTGACTTCAGTAAACCAGATGTTATTAAAATTGGTAAGTTTCTAAAGACACAGCATTGAAAATAGAGGGCCTCTTGATGTAATTCATAGCTATTCAATATCTACAAATTCACTCACAAGTGTTTTACTGTATTTCTTCTTAATTCCTTTGTTTTCAAAAATTCCTAATGCTTGTGATGAATATTGTACGTATAAAAATGCCCTATAATGGAACCATGCACTGTTTTCTTGCACTTTTTAAACAAACATAAGTATATTTGTTTGAAATTTAAAATGAACATTTTGGCTTTTTCATATACACTATTTGATATGACTAATATAGTTGTATGACAAGGCAATTAATATGATTATCATTTCTTATCAGAAGTGCTGTTATGGAGTCAAGAAATTTTTGTACTTTTATCATGAGTGTTAGATGTAGAAATTAAATTTACAAAAAAAGATCAATGTAATTAGCATTCATGTGTATGTCTTTCACAACCTAATTCTTCCTCAAATAGCTTGTATTACCGTTTTATCTGTTTTATACTTAGTGGACATAAATTGATAAAATAACTTATGAAAGCTGTCATTTCAATGGTATTCATTTGTGTGTGATGAAGAAATTGGGGAAAATGGTATACATAAAGAACTGCAAATGTTATATTTCTTTGAATTCACTATTCTAGGAAATCTTAAGGGGTGCTGTAATAATCACGTAACATTTTGAATAAGTAAAAATCTTTCACTTTAATGCAAATTATACTACAATATGCAAAAATATGATTAATGGTTATTGTCTATTTTCTGCGTTATTTTCATTTGCACATTTCAGAAGTAACTTACTCTTGCCATAATTTGGAGGAAATCACCACTAAAATGGCTAGGACCAGTAGAAAGAGATCCAGGGTCAAGTTTTGGAGGAGAAATATTTAGGGTTCACATGCATCCGGGAAACCAGTAATTGTCAGAGAATTTAAAGCAAAAAGAAGTCAGGAACATGTCTATTCTGGCTCAGGTTCAATTCCATACCTAGTAGTTAATCGATGTGTTTGAGCGAGAGTAGTGTGAGTGTGGGTGTTTTCACCTAACTCCATTATTTATTTATTTATTTATTTAACATGTTTGCAATGAATGGGATATATTTTACTCCACCCACCATTATTACATTTTTAGAAATTAAATAAATTATAAATGAGAACAGATGTGATCTGATGTTTGTTTTCATAAATAAAGTTTATTATTGCAAATACTACTTATAATTATGTTGTGAAATCGTAAGAGCATACTGCTGAATCCTCTATCATCCTCTGAGTCACTACAATTTGTTCAGTCAGATAAATTTTCACCAATATAATTAAAGTTTCATTACATATTAGTATTATAATAATGATAATGATGATGATGATAATAATATTTCATATTATGCAAGTACACATACCCTTTTCCTGTAGAAAGTCCACAGAGGGCCATCATTAACTTGTCAGGCACAAATATTTCTGCACTCCACTCATCAATAGAAATGTATCTCCTGAGATGTGACTAACATGTGCAAAACATTACCGCTTCAGCCAAGCTATCATAGCCCATTAATCCTGACCTCAGGAAGATGCCTAAGTTGGCAGCGGCATTCCTCTAATTCCCTTGTCTCAGAGTCAAATGTGATACTTCTGATAAAGATAATTGTGTAGAATTGAAGGGGAACCTGTCTCATATTACTCTTTGTAATATAGTTATCTTTGAAAAAAATATTCAAGTATCAAACATTTGGAAGTGTTTGTAACAATTTTCATGAATATCCATTTATTGATTTAACTTAATTGTGAAAATTCAATGATTGTTTTTTTGATTGATTCATTATTTCTGGGCACATCAACTGGTATGGTCATTGGCCCTGTTAGTGTAATGAATGTTTTATCACAGGAGATGGCAGTAGTCTCCCCCACTGGAAGATGAGATCCAGCATCGATCTACATGTCGGCTTGTCCTTCTCCAGATATCTCCACCCCCCAACAGGGCACCGCCCCATCCCGGGACAAGTTCTAAGCTCCAGAGTGGTCTCCTAACATGTGTGGTAGTGTAGTCCGTGAAAGTTCGTATGTGTAAAGGGAGAAGGAAGCGGAAAAAAGCATTGCCTACCGATCGTAGCCTGTTTGTTAGGGTACTTCTCCATCATTTGCCTGGTATTGATAGGAGATACCGTGGGAGACTATCAATAAGAGCTGCCAGCTGCTAGAATTCTCTTCCAGTTACTCTCTGAATTCAAACCATTTATGTAGCTAGTGTTGAAATTCCATTGTCATTAAAATCTCCCAGTCAGTCAGTCAGTCAGTCAGTGGTAATGTTGGCTCTGAGCAATACTAAGCTGGTTAGAATTCGGCAACGCTGTACATACTTGTGTGTTTGTATTTATAATGTATTAGAAAAAAGTTCTTGATAAGAAAGACCCATAAAGCAACCTATTCATAAAAGGTTTTAAAATGTCTTGGAGAGATTTAGTTTTCATATTTTTGATTTGAGGGACTGTAAATATCTCAGAGTAATTTCAATAAAAATGTATTTTATGTCTAGTTGATCAATGAAGATCCATTGTCAACTTCCATTTACTAGAAAAAAACAACACCTTTTGCACTTTAGTCCCTTACTTCCCAGAACACTTGAGTTAAATATTCACATACAGCTAGCGCATACTAACTGTATGTGAATATAACGTACGAGAGGTATAGATATAACAGATCATTAAACAGTGACCTACACATTTGAGTGCTAGCCTTTGAAGCGTTGCTGATATGCAGTAGAATCTCAATTATCTGTGGTAATGGGGACGAGGGGTCACATTGATAAATAAAAACCACTTCTGGAGACACTTTCGTTTTATGTATTACATAGTGTGGGTACAGTACTGAATCATTTTCAGTGCTTGAAATATGAAGTAATCAGTCTTCATTTATTTTGATTTGAAGCAATTTTCCTTACTTCACTTACAATTTTTATCAAATGTTATATATTATGTTATAGAAGTCAACATTTTCCTGTGCGTAGAAGTTCAGGATGCCCTCAACTGCTTCTATTGCTTCTCTTACAAATTTTTTTTATTTTTAGCACCAAAAGTGTGCACCACTTTCATCATCCTGCTGAGATAGATGGAGTAGTACTTGTACTGTCATAATGCACTGCCACTTATATGTTCAGTCACTTAGACGTTCGAATCCCACTTCATTAAACATTTTTTTGTAGCCCATTAACAATATTTTCTTTATTAACATTAGTGACATTTGGAATTGATGTGGCCAGCTCAAGACAAACTTCTATATCTCTTCTATGTTTTCTTCATTATCATCAACCATGATCGAAGATTTTCACCCAGAAAAGTCTTAAAGTACTTGCAGGTACATTTTTCCAAGCATCAAATACTGCAAAAAATGTCATCTGTCATGGTTCATGGTTTTAGAACTTGTTTCATTGAATCAAAACAATGTTTGGGTAAAAGAAAAGGGAAAAAAACTTTTTGGTATCTGTGTTTTTAATCCAAGAAGTCACACCGTGATCCATTGGCTCTATTAATGAAGACACGTTAGGTAATAGATAGTTAGTAGACATGATAGATAAAAATTTGACCAACTGTTGCTTTTAGGAGTTGAATCTGACTTTTCCATTGAGAAATGTATGAATGAAAACATTTCACACAAATCCAATTCTTCAACTTGTGGGTGATCGGAGGAACAAATTACTATCTTTTAAACAGAGTTCAGACTTAAACATTGAGACTCATACAGGTTGGTCAGAAATGACCTTGCTCTTCATTTAAGAAAGTGGATTTTCATTGCAGGATGTGTAGCAATTGGATGCCGGGAAGGGAGACAAATACCAATATCTCAAAATTTGTCCTGGTGGTCGTTTGAAGAAGGGTGAATCAGAAGAATACTTTGACAATTTTCACACCAAAAAATATAATTAAGATTAAACTGCTTGTCAGCTCTACAAACATTTTGAAGAAAGGAGGATAAAATAACAATGAAGGGGAAATCATCTTTAGCTTTTAAATCTTCTAAGAATCTTGTAATTGTGTGTCACATTCTTGCCTTAGTATGTACTTACGTAGTAAAGTGAAAGTATTAAAATCCTGCAACACATATCCATGATTTTTCGACAGAAAACTGGTAATGGAAAAGAGGAAAACTCTCATTCCTATGCAAGCATTAAGTAAATTACTCCCACTAACACCTTATTTAGTCAGAATCCACGTTTTGCCAAAAAATTCATTGATGGCATAAAGTCAATCTGCCTGTCCCTGGTCAATAATAGCTCCTAATTTGCTCAGACTATTTTCTCCAAAATTAATATCCCCTGGTCAATTGAATGAACTCAAGGCCCCACGATTTTAAACCTGATATTTTGTGTTTTGTTGGTATTTTACGTGAAGCCTCAACATTTTCTAAATTTTCTCAAAAATGGCTCCATTCTTCTTGATTAAACTCTTTCCTTTGATAATGTAAAGGACGCTTAAAAATGTCATAGGTCTAATTTTCGTTAAAAATTTTGAAGTTTCTAAAATTTTAAAATTTTGTTACTGTCTTCCTATTTTAATATTGAAGATTTTTTAAAATTAACTTTGTTCTTCAAAGACATTTTGAAAAGAGGTCGTGTACAATTTTTCGAAAATATGAATAGTGTTCGCAAAATTGTTCTTTAAATATAGGCAATTTTTAAACAATTATTTTCTCAAAATGGATCAAGTTTTTTTCTTTTAATTTTTTCTTGGGATGGAGCAAATGATTGTTAAGATGGCTCAGGTCCGATTTTTGAAGAACTCCTTGAATCTTCAAAAGTTGCAAACAAAAATTTAACACTGCAAAACTACTATATAAGTGAGATTTTTTTCTTAGAGAAATCTGTTTTTAAAACAGACCTTGTAATAAAGTAATAAAAAAGTCTGACTGACTTTTTGAAAATTGCAAATGCAAATGATCAACTATTTTGAAGCGCCATGAAAGTTGAGTTTAGCTGTGCTGTTCGTGGTGTAGGGGAAACTTGTCTTGTTCTTTAACTGTAAGG